CTGAAGCGATAGACAGTTGGCTGCTTTTTAGTGAACCTTTCTTTCTTTTTTGCCTGAAGTCTGTCCAGTTCTCATGAAACCCTAAGGTTCTCTGGACAACACTTTGATAAGCTCTAGAGCAGTGTTTCTCAACCTTGACAATTTTAAGGCTTGTGGACTTCAACTCCCAGAATTCCACAGCCAGTAATGCTGGCTGTGGAATTCTGGGAGTTGAAGTCCACATGCCTTAAAATTGTCAAGGTTGAGAAACACTGCTCTAGAGAGTAAAGGATTGCTTTGATTAAAAGCTATGATATAAACCAGGGGTGTCAAACTGCCTGTCCGGATACGTTGCACGATGTCAAATGACGTCACGAGTTCGACATGTCTGATGTAAACTGAGGACCCTGGAGATTTGGAGCTCTCCCACAATTTTTCTCAAATTCTATTCATGTGATCAAAGGAAGAAAATATTCAGAAACAGGCATATGAACCATTTTAACTAATTTAATTAGAATTAAATTAAAACAATTTTACTTCTGTTCTGACTACTTGCTTTTTCATATTTTTCTTTTACATACAGTATTTTGAAAAGTGCGGGTGCTAGAAGGGCCATTCCAAGGCAAAGATTAACCAAGAACTGGAAAGCGCTGTGCAGCCCTTTTTTGCATTGATAATCTATACATGGCATCACTGGGGTCGTAATGACGTTTCAATGCATGAAGGCAAAGGGAAAGAAATAGCAGGCACTTTCAGGAAAAGTGCCTAAAAATATGTTTTAAAAATTAATTGAAATCATGGAGGGCTTTTAAAGGCCTAACCGCAACAAATTTGTGATTATTTGTGAAAGATTAAGTTGATTATGTTGGGACATTATGCAAATTACACAGAATTATATTACAGTCCTAATGCAGGACTTCCTATTATTAATATATATGTAAAATTTCAACCAATTATATGATAAAATAGCAGCTGCTGTTAGGCAGTAAGAATTGTTGTTTAAATTATTCTGCACAAGTGAGTGTTGTACTTTCCAAGATCAGAATTTATCACTGCAAGCCTGCTTAGAAGTAGAGAAACTCTGTAAAGTTTGGTGTGGATTTAATCCTCCCAATAAGTGGATTAAAGAGCCTTAGTGAAAATCTGGCCATTGATAAATTATACACTCGTACTGTACCTTTTGTTATCACAATTGCTTCAATTCTCTTATAAAGTTTATTTTGAAAGACTGTTTAAGAAATTCTCAAATAACAATAAAAATGCCATATTTTCCAAAATATTTCTCTACTATTTCATGCACTCAGAGCTTTTTTTTTTTTTTTTCTTTGCATGCTGATTTACATTTAGGGTGTGTGTTTCCTTTCTCCAATGCTGGACTACGCCTCTCCCATGATTAATTATTTTAAAATGGCTAATGGGTTATTGCCTTGGCAGCAATGTGTCTTCCTGTCTCGTCTCTCTCACACACATACACACAGACATTATGAGAAGAAGTGACACTGCAAGAATAATAAATTAGAGGATTGCCTCCCAGGATAAAATGTTATTGATATAAAATAGATATGTCATTCTCCCCATGAATACACTGCTGCAAATTCTTTTATTCTAAGCATTTAAGCCAACTCTCCTATAGGACAAGCATATATTTTTCCTTTAAATATGGAACAAGGCATCTGGCTGATTGTAACTCATCTGCTATTACAGTTCCTGGATTCCCACAGAGAATGAATGCTTTATTTTGGACCCTAAATTTTATCATATTAAACTTTAATTTTTCTTAGGGAGAATCTGTACAGGGAGTTAGCAGTTAGCAGAAATGAAAGCAGAGTAAAGACCTGTTCCTTTAGCTCTCCAATCTCTTGTCTACTCAGCTGGAGGATTGAATGGGAGGGACAGTCATATTAATTTGATCAGGACCAAACCTCTCCATGTGATACTAATCTGTTGGATTAGGAGTCACACTGGGAGGGGGTGGGGTTGCTGATATTCAAACCAATGGAAATGCAACCCCCCCCCTTCAAACCTACCCTTACTATTTTGATATGTTTCATACATTCAGCTGAGAATACAAGAAGGCCATAATTTGGGACCAGCCAATAAACCAGAAGATGTTGTTGCAGATAAAAATGAGTTTGTTTATCCAATTGGACTGTCATTTGATGAGATAAATAAGTTAGCAAAGTGGTCATAAGCCATTACTCTATCTCCAGAAGCCTCTAGCCCAGAACTGCCACATAGAGTTGCTCCCAATTCTATACTGCACCACAATTGGCCTTCACATAGTTGATAATTTGCAAAATAATCAGTGACGCTTCCCTTTCTGGGCAAAATAATAGTAACTAACTGGTCCGCCAGGAGACAGGAGGGCACTTGGGGGGGGGAGGGGGGTCAGCAAACAGGCATGATGATCTTATCCCCAAGGAGGGTGAATACAGCAGCATGCATACACCTCCCCCATTTCATCCAACTTAAAAAACATACTTCAAGAAGAAACACTATTTTCTAATTCACAAGAAGCTGCAATATGGGATAGTGGTGGGCCCCCCTCCAACCTACCAAAATACAGCTAACCAGGTAGACGGCAAAAACAGAAAACAGTTCTAAATCTTTGCAGCTTAGTTTGAAAGCTATACTTAGAACAAACCATGATGAAGTATAAAGTCTGAACTAAGCTTGTTATTTCCTTCATGCAGAGTGATCCCTAGCTGTTTTCATTTAAGATGATGGCAGATGCCCTTGTAAGTCGCTCCAAGTCCTAGAGAAAACAAGGACTATAAAATTATCAATATTAAAAAATATTAAAAGATATTGAGAGGTCCAACAAAACCAATCTTGGATAACCGCCAAGATGATAAAAACAATTTCATTCCAAAATGAACTGACCGGTTTCAACGAGGATCTAAACAAGCAATTTCAAGCTACGTCAATTATATGAATTTACACTATTTTTTCTTAGGAATAAATTTAATTTCTCTCTGTTCTTATTTTTCAGTTTCTTATTTTAAATGTAAAACTTAACAAAGATTAGGCACATTTCCCCTACTATATGTGTTTCACAAGAAATGTCCCTAATCAGAAAGCATTTTGTGCACAGCTGAGTGAATTTTCATTAAAGATATATGAATGTCAAAGAATAATTACATTTTAACACAATTAAAATAGTACCGAAGCATCAATTAACTAGGTTTACATTAAAATGTGAACCCGGCATTTCTCCCCACCTACAGGGGAAATTATTTATTATTTAGGAAAAATCAAATTGATGTATCAACCAGCTCATTGATGTATCAACCAGCCTCAATTTATCCACCCCTCAGAAATAAGTAGGACTTAAAACCACATGAAAAGACTGTAGGATTAGATCTAGACATTCAAGAAAAGCAAAATATTTTAGATAGCCTTTAGGCCACAGACATTCAAACAGAGCTATAAAACCCAAGGGGCTACCTCATTAATTCATGCTTTTAATGGTGCTCACTGAAGCAGTTAATTATTTCTTACTAGCTGCTAATTGTTTTTCTTGGACATCGAGCTTCCTGGCTTTGCAATTCACCAAGTGCTGTAGAATCTGTCTGATTTTTGAAGGCAGGGAGCAAACACTTCTCAACTTATGAAGAACGTAGAGCACACAAATAATCAAACCTAGGTGACAAGCTGCCAAAGAACTATAGTTCTTTTTGTTAACCAGATGGGAGAGGAAAGGTTAGGAAAGTTGCTTTTTTTCTTCACTGCAAGAGAAGCGGCACTTGCCATCAATATATTTTTTAAAGATTTGTAACTGGCCAATTACTAGAAATCCAATTGTTGCCTTTTTGAGTAAAAAAAAAAAAATTGCCATCGTCATGCTATAAAAAATAATCCCTTTTTTCTTTAGTCTTTTTATTATACAAAACCATTTAAGTATCCACCAATGGGAATTGGCTGTACTGGAACAACAGAACCAATTATGCTAAATGCTATCAAACATGTAAATGCGGGACTTGCTCATGACCAAAAGCTACATTACCCAAGCTTCAATTGCTGTGCTTTACTGTCGTATGAATTGGATGCCAGCACACCTTGCAATTTTCAAAACTAATCTCTAAATTACCTTTCCTTGCAGTCTGCTGCTCTCTTTGTTTCCCCTCCCCCCCCCAGAAAAGTGGCAAGCAGTTCCACCGGTCAGCTGAAGAGGAGGAGGAGTGATTTGTGATGTTCCCTGCCAGCTTCCCACAAGCAAAATCATTAGGGAAGGTGGCAGGAATTCAGAAGTTGCCCCTGCTCCCACTGCTTTTTTGCCCGCCTGGGGTCATTCTGTTTCCCTGTTTAGGTGACAGAATATCTTTTGAAACGGTGACCTAACGGGGCATGGATTGTCTAGTGTGATTCTAAATATGTTACCAATAGATTTGCTCCTACTTTAAAAAAACAACAACACAAAGACTCCTAACCAAACCATGACCCTGATTCTGATTGAACTCTTATTCCTGCATCTTTAAAAAAAAGTAGCTTTTCCTTTCCTACCTCTGATGGATGACCAAATATAGGGAAACTGAAAATACTGGCAATTCAGATCTGTTTAGGCCAGTGTTTCTCAACCTTGACAATTTTAAGAAAAAGACCTTGACAGCCATGACCATGTCAGGCATCAGAATATGATTCCACACATTCCCTGATTCTGTGCTTTATTGCAATGTTGCAAAGAATAGAAATAAGGGCTTTATTGTGTGCTCATGCATGCAGCATAAGATACAGTATACTAATGGCTTATCAAAAATTTTGGCTTAATAGCTACATTCCAAGTGTGATATATTACATGCAACTTTGCAGAATGGCACCATCAATTTCAGCTTCAGAGTTTCAACCTCCCATTCATCCATACTTATCTAAATTCCTCCAATCACAATATCAGTTTTTATAAAGATATTACACTGATCATACAGTAGGAGTAAAGAGAGGCCAAGAATTGGGAGGAACAGACAAGATTTCTTTCCCTAAGTCAAAGACAAGGGCAGTAGGAAACAAACAAAAAAACTTCTTACTTGCAATCATGTTTCTCGATTTCAAAGTGAGGGTTGAAGTTGAGAGTGATCTTCTGGTTGGGTTCTGGGGCGTAAATGATCCACTCACAGTTCTGATGGGAAGGATAGTCTTGTGGATAGCCAGGTGAAGTAATGTAGCCAGCATCTTTGGAATTCAAGCGGCCCCCGCATGGCTGAGCTACAAACAAACAGATAAAAATATCCAAAATCTAAAATAAAGGCAGCAAGTGACACTGGTGATAGTCTTAAAACACTTTAATATATTTTTCTGGTAAATGATTACTGAATTACGTTGTCGTGGTTTTGTGTTTTCCATTTGTTTTACTTTAGTCAACTGATTGTGGATATTTAGACTTACTATGCACAATAATACCAATCTCAAATAGCAATACATTCACATCTTAGACAGTCCAGGAAAACAGAGCAGCTATAAATGGGTCTTTCTACAAAAATTCTTTTTTTTTTTTTTTGAACACTTAAAACAGAAATCAGATTATCTGGAAATAAACGGAAGTACCTCCAATTCCTTCTTTTCTTCCCTATGGTTAGTCTAACGCAGTGGTTCTCAACCTTTTTAATGCCGCGACCCCCAACCGGTCGTAAGTCGAGGACTACTCAACCGGTCGTAAGTCGAGGACTACTCAACTGGTGCAGCACCGTTTGCAGAATGGGACTTTTGGCGGGCTCAGCAGGGCAGAGACAGCCTGGACAATTCCTATTGGCTTTTGAAAGCCAATAGAATTAGACTCTATTCAAGAGAGTCTATTCTATTGGCTTTCAAAAGCCAATAGAATAAAAGGGAGTAGCACAGCTAAGGAAAAGGGGGGAAAAAATGGCGGACTGCGTTGTTTGGTGACCCCCGTGAAATGGTCGTTCGACCCCAAATGGGGTCCCGACCCACAGGTTGAGAACCACTGGTCTAACGGGAATCACAGGGAGATTCCAATTTAATAATCCTGCCTTTGATAAAAGAGGAAAATACGTAATTTGAAACCGGAATGACTGTAGTCCAACAGACTATCATAAATTCAGTATACAATGCAAAAATTAACTGTCATCTTCTCTTCCTTCCTTGTCCCTGGCAATGTCTTTCCTCAGCAATAGGTCCTCTATTTCTAAGTTACACAATTCAGTACAATTGGATAAATCTCGCATAATAGCGATCACTATGCTTCAGTGCTTGGCAGGTCACTTATCTTGAGAAAGTCTTCATAGGATGGTTCTTAGCAGAGAACAGCCAACTGTTCTCCCTCCCTTCATAATTACCATGTCAGATAGGAGTGAGGAAAGGCATTTCAGGGATACCCGGCAAGATTCAATAACACCTTGGCTTTTGAATGTGCCCAGAGGTTAAAACCTGTCTTGAAATTCACAAGTAGAAAATAGTTATTCTTTTTGTTTTTTTAAGCAATGGTGTTTATTTTATTTATTTACATGTTTGTCCCACCTTTCCTGTCCAGGACTTTTTTCATGGTCTCTTTCAACTATTCTTAATTTAGGTGAAACCAAATGAGAATAAGATCTGGCCCAAGATCATACAACATGGGAATTTCATCAAGAAGAAATTCCAACCAGACTTCTCCAGTCTTACTTTAACAGTTTAACATAACAATAGCACTCTAATGCAAGTAGACTATGACTATCAAATCTGATTTTAACAGGGTTTTTTTTTTTCAATCTAGGAGCAGCAGAAGTACCAAGGCCCTTTCTGAGGAATAAATCACCTGTAGTCTAAAGTAGATGATCTGCCTAAATGTTGACTTTCCAACCTAAAGTGAGGGAGAAGCAATAAAAAAATTACTAAGCCATCTTTGGCCTTTCACTAAGCCATCTTTGGCCTTTTACAAGGTAGTTAGATAGTCATAGAGTCTCATGAGCATGCCCTTTTACAAGAAAAGTATCCACCCTGTCCAACAGCAATGCCTGGCATTCAAAAAGGCCTACGTGTCCCACGTTAGGCCCACACATAAAGTGTCTCTTGGCATAGCAAGAAATAGCTTTCAGATTATATCTTAGCATTTCTTCTTTCCGTTACAACCACAAAACCGCACATCCACACCCTACTTTGCGTCCTTTCTGCATATCTTTCTTTACTGGCTTTGCCTTCATCTCCTCCCTGTCTCCTTCAAATTTTCATGGCAGGCTAAGCAGTTGGAATTAAAGAATGCAATAATCAGCAGTGGAGGTTTTTGTGGTACTGGCCCACAAATAGCCTGGTAACAATTATATCTTGAGTGAGGAAAGCACTTTCAACCCTTAGTTATGTAACAATGGACCCAGGAGGGTGATTTAATCTTCAAGAAAACATTTCATCTTACAAATGCCACAAATCTGATTTATTATTTCATTACTGGCTTAGGGGGGGAATCTGCATCATACACACAACTAAATGCATACTAAAGAATCTCAACATTTCAATATGGCTGTACAGCACATGCCGTTTTTATTTTTACTGTGTCCATCAAAAGGGACAAAACTGCACAGCGGTTCATTGCCACTCCCAGATGATGTCCCCTCAGGGCAGCCTAAGGGGGCTGTCCTTCTCTGCATGCCTCAAGCAATTTCCTAGAAGGAACTGGGAAATGATGAAAGCAGGAAAAGTGCAGACACACCCAAGAATGACATGAAATAGCTCTCTCTCTCTTTGAATTACAGCTTTGGTTCAGATATGACCACAGTTGGAAACAGATAATAAAACAAATATTTTTGAGCAGTGTAATTCCACACGTATTGTTTCTAACAGTTGCCCCTACACATATTTGGAAATATCCAATGACAGCAGAACATTTTAAAGTGAGAAAATATAGTGGGCAGGACAGCCATGTCCTCCTAAACAATATGTCCTTGCCCCACAATCAGGCTTAGCCAAACCAAGCAAGCAGCTGTAGTTTCTCCTTCTTGTGCTGCACCCAATCTAGTCCTCTGCCTATTTTTCTAACCTGCTTTACAGAACAAAATGTTAGCCATCAGGATCCAAAGCGATGTGAGTTCGCTGGACTCAAGTTAATAGCGGCCAACATTTGGCAAAAGGTTTTCTACCGGTGCAGTGCTAACAGTTACTAATTTAACTGGGACAGCCATGGACAACCTGAAGAATTCTGCCTGCTTTACCATGCTGCTTCATGTTGAGAGTGGGACTCTAGGGGTATCCAGCCTAAATAGCATGGAGAGGGGCACACAAACAGCATTAAAAGGAGGTCTTTGGTGCTGGTGAAAACCTTGAGGCAAACAGGAGGCCTTTCATAATAAAGAGGGCTCCTGAACACAGGCTCTGTCTCCCACCTCCCCCTTCTAGCCTCTGGGGATGCTTTTATTCTATAGACACATGACGCAGAGGAGTAAGAAAACTCCTTAAATCAAGGAACACCAGAAAGCTACTGGTGTATTCCCCACACTCTACCCTGTGAATGTAATCCAGTGAAAATAATACTCTTGCTTATACAAACTTCTGATTACTGAAATGCACTGGATGACTTCATGGTCCTTCAGATAAATTGGGGGAAAAAAAGACAGGGGAAATGTTACCTCAGCTGCATAGATACATAAGCAAAGGGCTGAAATTAGAAACTACTACAAACACTATATAAAATTATACAGTGCCTGTAGTTTTCCATTTTGGGAAATTGTGAATGTTTAGAATTTCAGGACACCACAGGAAAGAGAACAGAATGAAGTAAGTTAAATAGGCTTCAGAGATTTTACTTCTCTACTGTCAGTCATGCTTGAATGTCACCATCTGCATGAAACAGCATGGCCTTGTGAATTATATATTACTTTTCAGCAGCTACCTCTGGGTAGAAGGACAGGGGCCTTCTTCCCAAGAGGTATGCATTTCCTGCTATCTCCCACTCTGGTTGAATGATTACCACTGAAGGTCCAAACACAGGAGGCCAAGCAAAGAACTCGCTCACCACAAACTGTTTTGTGTGCTTGCCTTTTTCAATTTGTTGCCTTTCTGAATCTAGTTAAGAGTTCAGACCTGATAACTGAATTGCCTAAGAAAATCAGGCCACAGTCTGTAACGGGTATGCGTAATCCTACATTTGGTGCCAATACACAGGGGGAGCCTGGTGCTCTCCAGCTGGGATTAACAATATCACCATTTCTACCATGCTGGTTGTATTAGAAGAGATAATGAGCAAATCCCATTTCTGCCCAAGAGCTACCCGATCTTCCCAGGGTTCCAAATAAGCAAATTGTATTTTCTGTCACCACTCCGCACTGTCCAATGAGTACAACATTGCAAAAGGTGGGAGGCATCCTGGCTTTCCTTCTCCAGTTCCCTCCAGTTTAGCTCCTCCAACCCTGGGGATTAGCACCCAGGGCACAGAGACTTATTGAAAGAAAGCAAAGCTGGAGACCAAGCCCCTCCACTTGATCTCATTAAAAAAAAAAAAAAAAACGTCCTCCCCTGGCCAGGAAAAACTATTCTCTGCAAGAATGGTTTTCCCCTTCCCAAGAAGGATAGGACTATCTGCTTTGTCCAAAACCAGCAAAGAGGACTGGTGACAACAGGAAACAACTTCTCCACAGGTTGTCTCTGTCTCCTAAACAAGCAACTTGCCACCTCCTGTTCCACAAAGGACTATTTTCCTCTTTCACAATATCTACCTTCCCTCTCAGTCTGGCTTACTAATAATCCCTGGCAGATTCTTTTAAAGTCCTGTAGAACCACAGAACGTATTTTATCAGAACCAATGCTGCGCTCAGCTAGCAGTTAGCTATGTAGCAGTGCAGGTTTTAAGTTTTAATTTGCTAGGTAATCCCGCTTTGGAGTCTGAACTTTTTCACCTTTTCATAGGTTGCATCCAGATCCTAGCTGTGAACAGAATCTTCTAGTGTAGGAACCTATGTTTTTAGTTTTTATATTTCATTTACTGAAAATCTTCCTTTCACAATATTTTTTAAAACTCATTTTTGACATCAGAGAATACAAGTTCAACAAAAATGCACCATTCATGTATTTCAAAATGTAATTGTTCCTATTTTCTAATTTTGCATACGATTATTTTGTGAGGTTACTTTTCTACTGAATGTTCATTGTATCAATTATTATTATTATATAGAAATACTTTATAGAGAAACCTACAATATTTTTCAAGCAAAGCCCTTATTAACAAATTGGCAGAACATTCTTGACTTGTGTATATGTCTGCACATACACACATACACCCACAT